AAGGACGCATGTCTCAGAAGGTGTCCCCGTCGTTAAGCGCCATGCGACTGTTACGGTGTTAAACTCAGCTCAGACGTCCTCGAGGTCTCCCCCTCCTCCTCCGGGAGCCCCTGTGGCCTATGGGGAGCTGCTTGGCCACTGAGGCTGGGATCAGAGCGCTTTGGTTCTAGCACAAAGGTGTCTTGCTTCCGCTTTAAAATATTTGTCTGTTAGATTATGTTTTCAGGAAAATTTTAAATAAGTTTAAATTGAGTGTAACCGAAATGCAGGAGTTGTCAGTCAGAGGTAGGAAGGTGGGAGGCTGTCTGATGTGGTATTTGGGAGGACGCTCATGTCTTACGAGCTGTTCCCAGTCCTCGGTGGGCTTTTCCTGAGTGTGACTCAGTGACTGGCCCCAGGGAGGAGCCGGCCGGTGGGCCCAGGTCCCTGCACAGGCCTGATGCTCGTCTGGGTGTAAGAGGGACGCCAGGTCTCGATTGCATCCACTACTTTACATTTTGTTAGAACAAATCGCCTTCCAGCCCCTTAGGGACGAAAGGAAAGAGATAACCCGCTCCCGCTCCCAGAACTAGTGCTCCAAGCACACAGAGCAGCAGATGACGTATATTCACAGCAGTCCACGTTCCGTGGTTCTTGTGTGTCTTGAGATGTGTGGTTGAGTTGGCCTTTCCCCAGGAAGCGTCAGTAGCCGGCTGGAGGAGCTTGAGTGGCTGTTAAACGTCTGTCTTCGAGATGATGACTTCTGCTCTTGATTGTGAAGAGACCCCTCACCTTCAGATGCTGGTGGAAGGTTCTGGAATGTGCTCTGTAACTTCCAAGATGAGTGTAGGGATTGGGATGCCGAGGGCCATACCACGTAAGTGATGGATTAGGGAGCCGCCCGTCCCTCTGGCATCTCCGACACCGGCATCCTGGAGCACAGACGTGCTCCTGTCTCACAGAGAGGTGGGGGGTGGGAGCCGGTTCCATTGCTCAGGTTTGAGCGTGGCTTGTTTTACTGGAGACGTTGGAGCTTCGTCCTCGCCCTGGATCACCGCACTGAGCAGAGGCGAGACTGTCGCATCGGCCGTGGACAGCCGGCAGGGACAGCAGGGCTCCCTGGAGGACTCGGGCTTCGGCATCAGACGCTCGCGGCTCTGAACCTGCCTCTGCCGCTGGCAAGGCGCTAGCGTCTGAGCTTCTGTTCCCTGGCTTGCCACTGGGGGACAACCTCCGCCTTTCCCGGAGGCTGTGGGGTTGGCTGTGGCTCCAGGAGCAAGGGGCAGGTTGCCCGCCCAGGCCGGACAGGCCCTCGCTGGCCCCTCTGTCACGCACACCGCTTGGTCACGCACACTGCTCACAGTGTCCCTGGTTATCCGGGGCGGGGTGGGCTGGCTCACGAGCCCCACTGCTGTTCAGGGCGACTTGAGTTTTGGGGTTGGTCTGGAGCGGGGGTTCAAGTTGTGTTGGTACCAGAGTGGTAACGTTTCGTAAGTGTTTCGTAATGTTTTGTAAGTGATTCTGTCTGAGGCTGAAGTAGCTTGAGATTAGTCAGCTATAAATAAAATAGATGGTAGAGAACATATAGGAGAAGTAAAAACAGAAGTGGTGTTTCATAAAAACAACACGGAGCTGGTGGAGCCTGGAGACAGTCCTTGCATCGCTTCTGTGCAGCCGCAGACACCAGTGTGCAGCACAGCCCGTTCGCCGCCTCGGCCTCACCCAGCCCTTGGCTCTTCACGTGCAGTGATTTGGCATCTGTGTCCCTTCATGGACCGCAGGCTCCTCTCTGACAGGGCCCCTTACTCACAGGGGTGCCACACGTGGACCTTTGAATGCGTGAAAATGCCCTGTGATCTGCACAGCAGTGCAGGTAATCCAGAGACGACGGTCAGGTTACCTCTGCACAGATGTGTGTTTGCAGGTGTGTGTCCTGTGAACAGATGTATGTCTGTCCACAGTGTGTGTCCCATGAATAGATATATATATGTCAGTCTGTAAGTGTGTGTTGCCTGAACAGTTGTGTCTGCTGTGAACAGGTGTGTGTCCTGTGAACAGATGTGCGTTCCCTGAACAGGTGGCTGTCCTGTGAACAGGTGTGTCTCCGTTAGACGGTACACTCCACCAGGGCAGGGCAGGTGCTCTGCTGTCCTTGCCTTCAAAGAAACAATGTGGAGGGTGGTTTAGTCTCGAGTCTGCATCTTACTCTTCAAGCTGTTACATGATACAACTGGCTGTGTTGCCCAGGAAGCTTCCATTTTTAGGGTCGCAGCTGCCAAAAAGCAACTGGGCAGCTGGCCACTGGGCTGCCGCTCTTGTGCTGTGGTCACATGGTCACATGTCCGGGACTTCCGTGAACATCTTACTGATGCAGAGAGATTATCAACTTTGTAGCCAAGTTCTCTGCTCTCTTAAGCTTCCCTGGGCGTGGATACATGATGTGTGTCCTTGATGTTTCCATAGCAGACTCGTCTATTTTCCATTATCATTATTTTAGATTCCTTTTCTTTCTAGTATACAAAAAACTTTTTTCCCTAATGAAAATTGTATGGTTTTTCTTACTACAAAATTCCTGTGAAGTACATAACTGATTTTTAAGCTGCCCTGATTGGATAATAATTTATTTTAGAACTTTTCATATGAGTTGAAATTATTTTAGAAATGCAAGCCCTGTGAGGTGGTTGTTGCTTCTGTAAAAATGACATTTTCTTTTCCTTTTCATTGTTCCTAATTCTTAAAGGATCTGTTTTACTGGTGAGAAAAGAGACTTATTATTCATATAGGACATCAGATAATGAGACATACAGCTTCCTGATTTGACACAGGGTGCCGACACTTTTGATTCTTCCTGACACACGGCCGGGAACCAGTTGCCACTTTGTGTGGACTCCAGGCCTTAAACTGACGCCTTAGTTTAAATGGTCATTTTCCTCGATTTGAAGTGTTTTGGTCCCTCCCTCAATGCCTGGTCAGTCTGAGTCTGTAAGGCCAGGAGTGAGGAATAAAGCCGGGCCTGGACGTCCCTTCTTGTACCCCCTCCTGCCCCACTCAGAACTGGGGCAGCCCCGGGTTACACCCCAGCCTCGGGGGCTCTGATGCGCTCGAGGTCGAGAGGCCTATGTGGTCTGTGGGCATAGGGATAGGTCTCCTCCTCAGTGGCCTGTCCTTGTTGGGGACAGGTTCAGCTGCTGTAAGAGAAAGGCTGAGACCCGATGGAGGCAGCGTGTCTACCTCGCGTCTTGAGTCTGGGGCCGGTCGGGGCAGCGGCCTTTGTTTTCGGCGGTGGCCCCAGCGCCAGGCCACAGTAAGTGCTCAGTCCGGAAGAGGGGACTAGTGCAGCAGGAGGTCACCAGGGCCTCGGCCATCACATCAGGGCCGCCAGCAGGAAGGGCTCGAAGGGGTGGGCGGGATGGCGCTGGGACCCCGCGTCTGGTTCAGTCTTGCCGCCTCGTTCGACTGGCCTGTGAAACGTGAAGCCGAGTAGCTGCCTTTGCACAAGGGCGTTTCGAGGTGCTTTCAGGTGATTTTGCGAAACGTGGTAAAGACTGAGGGAAGGCCCGGGTGCCGTAACAATGTGGGTAAATAGAGCCAAGTCTGAGGTCTCCGAGCCAGGCGCCCCGAGGAGCCGCCCCACCCAGGAACGGCGTGGACGTCCCTGCCTGGTTTTGTCCCATTAAATGCATTGTGGCATTTTGGGTGAGAGCTTCTGCTTCCCTGATCAGCGGGGAAACAGAAGATTTAAGGGGGAAGATCAACTCTGACCGCCGTCTGGTTCTCAGGCGTGTTACGGGGTGAGCATGTCCCCCAGAACTCGTCTGTTCAGTCCTGACCCCTCAGTGCCCCAGAATGTGACCCAGTGTGGATGTAATTAGTTGAGATGAGGTCGTACTGAAGGAGGGTGGGCCCTAATCCAATATGGCCGTGTCCCCATGAAAAGGGGACCTGGGATACAGATACACTCACAGGGAGATTTGTGGACGTGGAGGCAGAGACGGGGTGAGGCGTCTACCGGCCCCAGAAGGCCAAGGTTGCTGCCAACAGCAGAAGCTGAGAGGCCTGGGGCAGATCCTCCGCGGAGCCTGCAGAGGGCGTGGCCCCGCGACGTCTTGGTCTCGGTTCTGGCCTCCAGACTGGGAGACTCAAGTTCTGTTGTTTAAGCCTGGATCTGTGGCACTTTGTTCTGGCCGCCTCGGGAGAGCTGGTGGTCGGGAGAGCCGTGGAGGGGCATAGGGGGTGATCCAGGAGGATTCGGGCTCCGGGTTTTGTGCAGTGGCACTGCTCTTGATGAGGGCACACGTTCCCGCACTGGCCACCTTCCCTGGGAGCTGGGCCAGCGGCGGGTGAGCTGACCTTCTCCCTCTGGAGTCTTGGGAGTTTGTGGGGCTGAGGCTGCGACTGTCTCTTGCTCTGTGGGTTTGTTTGTGTAGGAAGTCGGTTTTTGTTTTTTGTTTTAAGGATGTTTCTTCAAGGGTGAGGGATGAGGGGACACTTGGGTCATTTAACCTAGATTTTCCCTTTGGGTAAGAAGGTCGCCTTACCCATTCATGGGCGTTTTCCTTGTTTCTGGAATATTTGTTTTTTGTTCTGAGAGTTAGCTGTGTGTGTGTAGGATTCTGTTCAGAACTGTGTCCATTATGACGGTGGTAAGCCTTGAACCCGGAAACTTGCATCAGATTCCTGCTTGCTTCCATTGCCGCTGGGCGGCTGCCCTGCCTTAGGGAAGGGATAGGCGCTCCCTCTGCAGGTGGTGCTCCAGGCCCAGCAGACGGGCTTGCCGTGTCACTTCTGCTCCAGCATGGTGGCCAGGCCACCCTCAGCATGTGCGCCCTGCATAGGCGTGCGCCCCGCATAGGCGTGCACCCCACACAGCCGTGCTCCCCGCACAGCCGAGTGCCCCGCACAGGCGTGAGCCCTGCACAGGCGTGCTCCCCGCGCAGCCGAGTGCCCTGCACAGGCGTTCTCGCCTGCCTTCATCACATGCACTCTACCCGACTCCCGCCTGGCGTGTTTGTGTCAACTGCGTGGATAACTCTTGTTTTGCCCCCACAGAGTCTGTAGAAGAGGCTTCCAGGAACCAGGACTTCCAAATGAACAACCGAAAGGAAGACATGGAAATCGCGTCCCACTACCGACACCTGCTGCGCGAGCTCAATGAGCAGAGGCAGCACGGCGTCCTGTGTGACGCCTGCGTGGTTGTCGAGGGCAAGGTCTTCAAGGCGCACAAGAATGTCCTGCTTGGCAGCAGCCGCTACTTCAAGACGCTCTACTGCCAGGTGCAGAAGACGTCTGACCAGGCCACGGTCACGCACCTGGACATCGTCACTGCCCAGGGCTTCAAGGCCATCATTGACTTCATGTACTCTGCCCACCTGGCGCTCACCAGCAGGAACGTCATCGAGGTGATGTCGGCTGCCAGCTTCTTGCAGATGACGGACATTGTGCAAGCCTGCCACGATTTCATCAAGGCCGCACTGGACATCAGCATCAAGCCGGATGCCTCCGACGAGCTCTCAGAGTTTGAGATTGGCACCCCGTCTGGCAGCAGCACAGATGCACTGATCTCCGCCGTGATGGCCGGGAGGAGCATCTCCCCATGGTTGGCTCGGCGCACGAGTCCCGCCAATTCTTCCGGAGACTCGGCCATCGCCAGCTGCCACGAAGGTGGGAGCAGCTACGGGAAAGAGGATCCGGAGGCCAAGGCTGACGGCCCCGAGGACATCTCCTCGCAGTCGCTGTGGCCCAGCGACGTGGGCTACGGGTCTCTGCGTATCAAGGAAGAGCAGATCTCGCCGTCTCATTACGGAGGCAGCGAGCTGCCTTCTGCCACGGACAGTGTGATCCAGAACTCTTTCTCAGAGCAGGCTGGAGGGGACAGCTGGCAGCCCACAGGCCGGAGGAAGAATCGAAAGAACAAGGAGACTGTCCGGCACATCACGCCACAGGCGGAGGATGGCAGCCGGGCCGGATCCCCGCTGCCGTCTTTCCTTCCGACGTCCGGGTGGCCGTTCAGCAGCCGAGACTCAAGTAAGTCTTTCATTTGTTACGGGCGGGGCTCAGACACCGTGGGCCATCGGTGGCCCAAATGCACTGTGTGTTGGTGGCCCCGTGGCTGTTGGTTTTGTGAATGAAGTGGCACATTTCCAGTGGGTCACCTCCTTTCGCAGTAAATTGCTGTGAGCTCAAGGAACTCGACTGACGTGTCCCACAGGCCAGGTTGTCCCCATCAGTACAGCACCAGTGTCACCACCACACAGAGGCCACCCGGGGTGGGGATCCTCTGAAGCCGAGGGAGACATGAGCTTTGGGGTCATAGCTGGAAGAGTGAGGTGACACCTGGAGGGAGCCCCCCTCCCTCCAGGCACAGTCTGCTTTCTCTTGTAGAGGGGGGCCTTTCCTAATTTTAAATGATTTAAATGTTAACATTTTAAAAAGATGGAAAGTACATTAAATGAGGTGATGTGAGGGCGAGAGGGAAGGGCCGAACCTTGCACCGAAGTCTCTCTGCAGTCGTGCGGCCTTCAGCTTTGGGTTCTCTCTTCAGTGGACAGTGCTGTGGTCATTACTGTGAGTGTTGGACAAACGTGTCACATGCACAGGTTTGTCCGCAGTGGAAAGCTTCCTCCACCTGCGACTCGAGGACTCGAGGCCACGAAGCCCCTCACAATGAGGGGTGTTTGACAACAAGCGCAGGTTCCAGTGTGCAGACTGGCGGACGTGGTGCTTTGTTCCTGCAGCCACAGGGCGGTACTGCCTGGTGCGGGCGGCCTCTCCCGACCCCGCGTCTGACCCTCTGGGAGGTGCGAGGGGGCTCTGAGCTTGGCTGTGTGGAAGCTGCTCCTCACACGCGGGACGACAGTTTGTGTCTGTCTCCGAACGAGGAGACAGCCAATTCGATGTTGACTGGTTGCAGATGCTCTTCCCGGTGCTGAGCACGCGGTCACTACGACCACACCGAGCCTTTCTGAGTGGAGATGGGAACAGGCTGATCACCCTGCACCCCTGCCCCAGGTGCAGCGGGGACCCAAGGGCTGCAGTTCGGGGTAAGGAAGGATCTTTGCAGGAACCGAGGTTGGTCCAGAGCAGGACAGAGGCTTCTTAGCAACTGCCCGCCGTGGGGAGGCCCCTCCAGCACGAAGGTTAGAAGTCGGCCGGAGTGCGTGAATGGACAGAGGTGGACAGAAGGCAGCAAACCGTGGGGCGATAAGCCTTGAGAAATGCTGCAAATGCTGAGCCTGCCTGTGCTCCGTGGGGAGGGCTGCCCACTCCCCCCAACCCCTGCCCCGAGGGCTTCTTGGGGCTCTGGTGAGCTGGCTCCTGCTCTCCTCAGCAGAAAGAGGGCAGCCGTCCGGGCCTTCAATACGCTGTACCTTTTATTATTGTGGTGAAATATACAGACCATAAACTTCACTCTTTTAATCATTTGTAAGTGTACAATTCATTGGCATTAAGTACATTTACACTGTTATGCAACCATTACTGCTGTCTATTTCTAGAGCTTTCTCATCTTCCCAAACCGGAACTCTGTATCCATTAAACAGTACCTCCCCAGGATACACTGTAGACTTTACCATTCAGTCTCATTCTCATTGTTACTTTGTGTCCCCAGCCCTGAGCGCTGGGCCAGATCCCTGGATGTTCAGCACAGATTGGTCTAACCATGGTTTCTCAGCCTCGGCTGGATGACTCTGCCTTGGGGCTGTCCTGGGCACTGCAGGATGTTAGCAGCATCCCTGGCCCCTACCCACTAGATGCCAGTAGCAACCTACCCACTAGTTGACAACCAAAAATGTCTCCAGACACTGCAAATGTCCCTAGCGGGCAGCCCCCTGGAACCGTTGGAGTTAACTGAACTGAAGTCAGAAGAAGGTTAAGTTTCTGAGCTGATATAAAAACCATCTGCCTCTCTGCTGGCTGTTGGTAAGGAGAGGTGCGCAGGCGATTGGCGGGTGACAGCAGTGTCTCCGTCTGCTCCTAACTTGGTTGATAATCTTGCACCAGCTCTGACTAAAACCTGAAAAGCAGCAGTCCACGCGGAATGGCTTAAGGATGGACGCTTCATGTGGAAGCTTCTGAGGTGGCTGGTGCAGTGGCTCCTTTGCCTCCTGTCCCAGGACACCTGCTCATGTGTCATGGGTCACCGACAGGCTGTGATGCTGGAGGCCTTTAGATCTGTTAAAGATTTTTATTTATTCATTTTTTCCCCCCAAAGCCCCAGCAGATAGTTGTATGTCATAGGTTCACATCCTTCTAGTTGCTGTACGTGGGACTCGGCCTCGCGCTGGACGGAGAAGTGGTGCCTTGGGGCGCGCCCGGGATCCGAACCCAGGCCGCCAGCATCAGAGCGCGCGCACTTAACCGCTAAGCCACAGAGCTGGCCCGAGGCCTTTAGATCTGAGAGTCCTTCAACATATCAAGAAATGGTGCACTCCTTAAGCCCGTGGGTTTAATGTTTTAAATGCAGTTGTCGAGCAGAAGGTGTTTTTAGAATCCAACAAGTGATTTCGGCTGTGTACTTTTGTTAATATCTTAAATCCTTTGGGTTACCACGGCAACTGTGAACCGCTTCTGGTAGATTATTCTGAGTTGCTAAGGCAAGGACATGAGGTTGTGGGCTCGCGTGGGACGGTTTCTGCCCGCCTTATGGTGGCCAGTGAGTCCTCCTTCCTGGCCCTGGGGCTGGGCTTTGGAAGAATAAATAGTGATCCCCAATGGAGGTCAGTGTGTTTTCATTAAAGATTTGTTACATCTTAGAGAAAAATATTTTTTATTCTCTTCCTGTTAATAAGCGAAAAGGTCCCCTCCCAAAGGAACATGGATGTGTGGATGTCCAGCCTTGCAGCCAGGCCACCTACTCTGTCCCACTATGTTCCCACTGTGGCTTGCGGTGGCTCTGGGGCCTGTTAGCGCTTAAGAGTGATTTTCCACAGAAAAGGCATTCTAACCTAGTGGCTTCCAAGAAAACGTCCGTTGAAACTTACTTCCGAGTTATCGCAGCTCACTTGTGTGATTGCTCATGGGAAAGGGCATTAAAATGTGCAGGGACATCGTGCATACGTACAGGTGTGTTTCAGATGCAGGCAGGCTCTGTGGCCGGGCCCACATTGTCTCCCCCTCGTCTTCCCTGGGCTCTGGCCTCACCCCTTGTCTGCGATCCCAAGGGTGGCTGTGAGGTGGAATTGTAGCTACTAGTTCAGAAGCTGGTGCAAGAAGGGCCCCGGTGCCCCATCCTAACGTCCCACACACATTCCTAAAAGGTTCTGCAAAAATAAAGTTCTAGTGAGAATAAAGTGTGTGGGTTTTGTAAAGTGAATGTTTGTACCTGGACTTTGCTAAGGTTGGACCTTGCCACACAGGGATTTTTTTTCTTTTCTTTTTTTTTTGGTGAGAAGATTAGCCCTGAGCTAACATCCGTGCCCCATCTTCCTCTACTTTATATGTGGGACGCCTGCCACAGCACGGCTTGATAAGCAGTGTGTAGGTCTATGCCTGGGGTCCAAACCTGCGAACCCCAGACTGCCAGAGCAGAGTGGGTGAGCTTAACCACTACGCCACTGGGCCAGCCCCCACACTGGGACTGTTAAGAGTGCATTGGAACCACAGAGCAGCTTCAGGTGGGTGAGGTGGTCAGCCTGTAGGCTTCCGGCTGAGGCCGTTGCAGCTTCTTTCCTGCTGCGGGAGGGGAGCAAGGTGACACCAGCTCTCAGGATGGGGGACTTCACACACTGCCTCTGGCTGGGGCCCAGCCCTCCTTTGCTGAGGTCAGAGGGTTCTCTTCTCAGCCCCTTGGAGAGCGTCGCTGGGGCTGAAGCAGGAGCTGGCAAGCGGAAGGTCTGAGGCTGGTGGCCCCTCCTCCCCTCATGGAGGTGGGAAGGGGGACCATGCCCCTGGACTGTCTTAGCCTGGCCGCAGGCGTCCTGAACCACAAGGACACGGGAGGACTCATTTGGAGAAGCAGCGAACCTGTGAGTTTGTCTGAGTTCATGTACACCTCGGTTCCTTGATTTGATCAGACATGGAGGAGTGAGCAGGGAGCCCAGCGCCCAGCACAGCCCTCCTGGCACTCGGGAAGACTTGAAAGTGCACCATCCTCTTCTGGAAGAGGAGAAAATCAGCTTGCTTAGTATGATATTTGTATTTTGGGGGTAAAAGAGTCTGAACAAAAAGTGACACTGCGTGCCTTGGTCAGTCTCCCGGGGCTGGGATTGGCTCTGTCTCCAACACCCAGACCGACGAGTGCCTTTCCTGAGATCCGGGGCTTCACCCCTCTTCCCCTACTCTGCTGTTCAGTCCTTTCCTCAAAGGTTTGCAAGCTCGACTGTACACCCAGATGTTTTCCTTCAGGTGTGAGCAGAGTCACCTGGAATTGGTCCTGAGGGACCAGGCTGCCATCTGTCAGGGCCGTGGCCGGTGCCCCCAACAGAGACAGTAGCGCTCTTCACTGGAAGGTTTGGTCGGGAACGTGGAGGACAGGGGTCAGGGTGGGAGGACTTGCTGCCGGGATGGGAATCAGTGAGGCCTGTCCCTGTGCTGATCCAGGAAAGCAGGAAACGCTGGTGACGCAAAACAGGCGGAATAAGAGCAGGAACCAAATGGCCATGCGAGTGGGATCTGGTGGGTGGAGGAGGAGTGAGCAGGCTGAGCGCCAGGGGCCAGGGTAGGCGCCCATCTCCTGGGATGGGGGCTCACGCCCCCTGACCTTTGGCGTTTGCACTTCTGACGGCTCATCCGTGACTGAGGCCACACTTTGGAGTCACTGTCCTGGTTGGAAGACCCTTGTCAGCTCGGTTTTGTGGAGGCGCAAACGTAGCATCTTTTTCTGCTCAAATGGAAATGTCTTTCTCTTGCAATTGGATTTCCTAGAAAATTGAGTTCGCAAGGGGTGAGCCCTTGAAGGGCTCTCATGGGCGTCTGACTCAGCCTCTCCATTCCTCCAGGTGTGGAAATAGGCTGAGCTCAGTGGCTTGTGCGGTCACCTGGGGGGTGCCTGGCAGAGCTGGGGGGGTGCCACCGTCACACCCCACCCT